TTCAGCAGGTTGGATTTCCACCAAAGCATTATTCCTACATGGGCTTGAAGGTGGGAGTGGGCTGTGGACGGGTTTCAGCATGAGCAAACAGGGCCCAGAAGATCAGCTCTGCAGTACTGGATGCAAGCTCAATCCTTCCCATGTTCAGTGCGGGGAGACCGACAGTGAATTTCCTTCATGAGGAAAAAACTCATCATTTCAGAAAGGTGTTTTGGGAACAAATGGAAGAAACATTAACAGAACCCAGCCACTGTAGCAGCCCCGGGCACTGCCTGGGCCTCAGAGGTGGCAGGCTGAGGTACTGCTGCTTGTTCCTCTGAAAAGACTCAGCTTCCTTTTGCATGACATGGCATGCCTCTGGGACTATCTTCACGTCCTATCCAATACAGACCCTCCTCCACTTCCTAACGGTTGTCCTACTGTCCCAAATCTCACACCTAGTTTGGAGCTGAAGTGTTCTGCAAACTATCACAGGCACTTAGGGATAGCGTAGGTATATTGGGCTCCGTTAACCTTCTCATTCACGGGCTCACAATATTCATGCTGTTTGGGAGTGCTGAAGTTAGCGGCATGCTCATAATTAGGTCTCTCTTCTGTGCACTGAGAGCGCCGACTCCTGGCTTGTGCTCTGTTTTGCATAGAACAGGTGTATCAGCTCTTTGCAAATACAATTTTTGATTCCTCATGCTTACAAAGGCAGTGTTTCTGAGGGTTAGGCAGCGCCACAGTTCGAGCTGCAAATCTACACCCTAGAAGGTACATTAGCAACTTATCCCACGAGCAGCAGAACTAATGAAGTTCACCTTCCTAAGTGTGCTTGTTCTTTGTACCTGTCCTGCTCAGCTGTAACAACCCCTGCTCTCCCTGCCAGGGCCCAAAGGAGACCCTTTCATCCTGAAAAGGATCGGCAGTGCTGGAGTGACCTGGGGCTGCAGGGTGGCAGTTGGCCAGCCAAACACAAAACACCAAACCAACAATTGTCATTACATTAGTATGAAATCCAGCACCTTGAGACATCCCTCCTTCAGATTCGGATGACAAACTTGAGATGCATTAGACTGAGCTGACAGTTTAATATGAGTTTTGATGGGGGGTTAAGATACCTTTCGTCCCATTCACAGATAGGGAGAGTGTGCCAAAGGGACTGGGGCTGCATAGCGCTAAGATCATGATGTGAGCGCACACGAGTCCGCATGGCTTATTCTCACCTCAGGGACTGCAGGAGCAGGGAAGCTGAGCCAGTCAAGGAGCTCGCATTTATCTTTCAGCCAGTCGGAGGCCCAGACACTGACCCGCCGGTCTGAGCTGGTGGCCAGCCAGAGTTCACTGCCTTCCACCCCAAAGTCATAGTACTACAGAGGAAAAAAATAACATTACGACTCTTGCAATACAGAATCTGTAAAAGAAAGTTGCCAACAAGAACAGACTGGTGTAGGGCAAACGTTTACGGGAACGCAGGCCTTATGTACTAAGGGATTAATGCCAGGACTAACCTACTAGGTTCTCTCACCTGCACAGTCCTTAAAGTCTCTTATCAGGCCAAAATAGGTTAGGTGCCTCCGCCTTGCCCTGTGGGGATGTCCTTGCACAGCAGGACAAGGCAGCTGCTGGTACCAAAACCAGCACTATGCTCTGGGCTGACAACCCCTGGCAGAAGAGAC